CTATTTCCACGAAAATAAAAGCCTATTTAAACTGCAGTGTCTCTGTATGCTGGTTTGTGTGTTCTCCAACACAACTCTCACAACGCTTCTCTAAATGTGCTCGCTCTCCCAACGGGGAGCTTACCTGACGGTGTGACTTCTCTTTAAGAAAGGCGGCAACAGGCCAGAGGGGTAGAGAGAGATTCAGTTTTGAAAGCACCTAGTAAAGGAACTGGTTTAAAATTATAACATTATTTACTCTCTGCCACTGTGGTTCAGTCAGTCTGAAGCAGGAGTCCCCAAAGTGGGAACATTAAGACTTGTGGACTTCAACTCCCAGAATTCTCCAATTCACTTCTGCTAAACATCGGAAGGGATTCACTTAACAGCCATGACAAGAAAAGTCATAAAATGGGGCAAAACTCACTTAGCAACAGAAATTTGGCTCAATGTTGGTCGAAGTCGAGAACGACCAATATTTTCTGGACAACTGGGGAGGGTTTCTTCTGAAACACTTCCCACATTCCCTCCATTCCCCCCCCCCTCCCTGGTTTCACAGGTTATAAAACAGTAAAATTTTAAAAAAATATGCCGAATGAATACTTTATTGTATAATAATACCTGGATGCAAGCTGGATCTGAAAATCCTTAACCATGAAAGCCAGTTTTCTGATTGGGCATGGCCAACAAAACCCCACTTTTACAACTGTACAAAGCGCTGGTGCATTTGTTAAAAAATAGTAATGCTGCCCCCCTACCATTTTGCAGTAAAACATACGCAAACACTCCAATGCAAGCTCTGTAGTAGAAGGAAGGAAAGAAAGAAAAAAGGGAGGGAGAGAAGGAAGGGAAGGAGAAATAGGGGAGAAAGGAAGAAGAAGAGGGGAGAAAAGAGGAGGCGAGAAAGACAGGAAGGAAAGAGAGGAAGAGGAAGTTGGAAGAGTGAATGTTGGCTTTTGTTTTTAAATATGTTGTCTTTGTCTAGTTTTCCCCCCTTTCCCCTTGTCTTTTGTGAGCCGCCCGGAGTCCTCCGGGAGTGGGCGGCATACAAGTCAAATAAATAAATAAATAATAAATAAATAAATAAATAAATAAATAAATAAATAAATAATAAATAGGAAGAAAGCAAGGAAGGGATGGATGAATGAAGGAGAGATCAGAAAAGGAGGGTAGGAGAATAGTAAGGAAGGGGGAAGAGGGGAGGAGAGGAGGGGAGAGGAAAGAAGAGGTAGCATGTAGGAGAGGAAGGGGGGAGGGAGGAAAGGAGAGAGGGAGGAAGGAAGAGGAGAAAAGCAAAGAAGAGGTGAGAGAGACAGAAAGGAAGATGATCTAGCAGAGGAAGCAAGGAAGGAAGGAGAGATCACATAGGAAGGAGGGTAAGAGAATAAAGAGGGAAGAGGGAAGACAAGACAAGAGGAGGTGAGAGAGGAAAAGAAGGAAGAAAAGTTAGCAAGTATTAGAGAAGGAAGGATGGAAGG